GGAAACCTGCTTGCATCGAGCAGCATATTCATAGATGTGGCCATGAGCATAATGTTCAAAAGATGCCCAGGTGCATGGATTGAACACAGTTTTGGGGTGAAAGCGAAAGGCTAGGTTCCCTTTTTCTAAATTTTGCACATAAATGTCTAAGCACACACAGACAGCACTTAAAGCAAAGCATGCATCCATCCGCTGGACCCCAAGTGTAAGACTTATCTTAGAGGGCAAGTTCTCCTCCATTTGTGGAAAAGACCCAGATGTTGGGAAAGTCTGAAGGCAAGAGGAGAAGGGGATGACAGAGGACGAGATGGTTGGGCAGTGTCATCGAAGCGACCAACATGAATTTGACCCAACTCTGGGAGGCAGTGGAAGACAGGAGGGCCTGGCGTGCTCTGGTCCATGGGGTCACGAAGAGTCGGACATGACTTAATGACTAAACAACAACTACTATTACACCATGAAGGGAATATTCTCCTCTTGCCATCTTGCAATCTGGATTTCTTATCGATAACGTCCTGGGAGAGGGAACCTCCCATTAAGCTATTAACCAGGAACAGTATTCATGAATGAGGAGGAATATTTTTAAGACGCCTACAGTAGTTTAGTGCTAAACAGAGCAGAGCGATGGTGCCAATCACTCTCACAAGGGTTACACCTTATCCTAGAAGAACATAAAATACAGTCCCCAAGGCTGTTTGGGAAGAAGAAATGAAGTATAAAAAAAGACACCAGATCCACACAACAAAATCTGTGTGCGAAACCTCTTCCCGTGTGAACACAACAACTATGGGGAATGATCCAACGTAGCTTGAACCTGGAGGTTATTTGGTACCCATGTCATTATGTACCAAACTCTGGAGATTAGGATATAGTTGAGACTATAATTAACTGCAAGCCACTCTAAGCCCTAAACCACATCATTTGAAAACAAGCACCAGGAGTTGGACGTACTGGCGGTTTACACATTCACACACAGCCCTAGTTTCACAGAAGGAAATACTACTGTGATAAGGCAGGTTGCCTGCTGAGCAGGAAAAGCACATACCATTTGTTTGAGACGTGTAAGAGAGTCTTTAAGAAAAGTACAGTATTTCTAATGTGTGAGCCAATGGTCAACAATTCCATTTTTGCAGCTTTGGGGCTACGCGCTGATGTAGAAGTCACCCAACGGTTGTGCCCAGTTGCTAACATGGGATGGAAAGCAAGAGCTGTGCAGAGGACAAGCCACAGCATCCACTGGAGAACATACAGTGGTGCCTCGCAAGACGATGTTAATTCGTTCTGCGAAAATCGCTGTCCTAATTGCTTTTTCATTTCGTCTTGTGAAATGAAAAAGCCCATTGAAATACATTGAAACCGGTTCAATGCGTTCCAATGGGCTGAAAACTCATCTTCCAGCAAAGATCTTCCATAGGGGTGGCCATTTTCGCTGCCTGTAAAGCGGGGAATCCATCCTGACAACACAGCAGGGAGACATTTTGCACAGCAGGCGGCCATTTTAGAACCACCAATCATCTGTTTCTAAATGATCGCTTAGCGAAAAATCGGTTCCCAAAGCAGGGAACTGATCATCGTTAAGTGAATTTCCCCCACAGGAACATCGTTTTGCGATTGCAAAAACTTCAGCGTAAAGCGGTTCCATCATTTAATGAGGCAATCATTAAGCGAGGCACCACTGTATATGAAGGGGGGGGAGGAGGACATTAAAACTGTGTGGTTTTCTCTCTTCCCTGCTCCCTTTCGCTGATGTCCAAGCTGTAGGGTGTGTAGGCCTCTGCAGTCAAAGGACCTGTACTTGATGTTCAACAAACTTTAAGCAGACACACAAAGGAAATGCAGCAGGGACCCAGAGCTAAACAATGCCCCCCCAGAGCATGTCTGTATAGGTTTGGTACCATTTCCTCCCTTTCACAGTCAGCTTTTTGCAAACCTCTGTGTAGCACAGCCGACATCACAGGGACAAATATAAGAATTTGCCTTGCCTTCGAGGCAGTCCTTGATCCTTAACTCTCTTATTCTGCAGCAGGATAACACAGTTACCATACCTGCAGTCCCTACCACCTATTCGGCCCCATCCTTCATGATCGTACCTTTCAAACCTTTGCTGCCCCATTGTTGCTCCTGCATGGGGAAGCACTGCGCCCAATTAACCATCTCCTCTCAAAGAAAAAGCAGGACAGCTCGAGGGACGCAACCAAATAAAAGGGACTTCCCAGCAAAGCTCCCCTGCAGTTGTAGCTCAACTGACCTAGAGATTTACTGTTGAGATTTCAGAGGGATTTTTTTTCCCTCCACCCCAGAGAAATAACACAGTGACAACAGATGGCACTACACCCTAATCAACCTCAGCGTTACAGTAAGAGGCTCTTTACTGACCGATTTGTATTAAAACACTATCTTGGAAAAAAAACAAACCGCAAGGTACAGTAATCCGATCGAAGGATAAAGACAGACGTGCCATCTGCTCAGGCATCTCTCACTTTTAAAAGGGCCGGCGTTTCCCCAGTAAGCTAAGCAAGCGCATGTAGCTGCTACAGAAATGTGGTTGGT